ACCGAGACATCTACCTCGTATACCGTTTTCACCTCGATCGCGACTGAAAAGTTGTGACCGATGGGCCCGCATCACGCTCCTCACAGGGAAAACGGTCTCCATTCATGACCCAATTTAACTCGATTTGTTTCTTTTTGCAGCACCCACAGGCATGGCTGATCATGGTGGTGGCAGCCCTGCCGGTTTCTCCGCTGCAAAGTCTAATTAGAGCTTTGCTTCTGCGAGATGAGTTTTCTGCCTATTGACTCTTCGCTAGAGTGGTTGTTGAAATGCAGTTGGCACCATCCATGCCCCCGCCCTCTATCCGACAGATTCATCCCTTGGGCATTTCTGATTGCCGAGCGGAGTCCTCCGTCCTTGTCATTCTGGGCCAGCTTGGGGATATCGCCTTGGATCCGGCCCTTCTGCCTCTGCCTCTGAACTGACTGGGGCGTGTGCAGCGAGCAGACACCAACGTGAATTATTATTGCCTTTTGCATTTCAATGCGGCGAATCCAAAGGGGAGGACATGTTTCATGCGGAGTCACCAGTGTTGGAAAATGATGACGTTGATCAAGGGGTGGAGCCGAGGCGTGATTACGGAGGATTTGGTCGGTTGAAAAGGCTTTGGGCAGGGGTTATCAAAGTGCGTCAAGTATCAAGCTGCTCAAACACCAAAGCATGGGTCCCGAGCGTCACCTTCTCATGCCTGTCCAGCGGCGATAGCAAGCATGAGCGCCTAGCCACATCGCAGCACGAGGACAGGGACAAGGGCAACAGGCAACTTCTGTTGACAAGTCAGCCTGGCCATCCCATCCACAGCCTGCCTGCATATGGTGGGTCTTCGACTCATAGTACAGGGCACAGGTAGGTAAGTTGCCCTAACACGCGGAGTGTTTCCTCGCCTGGTTGGACGGTGTACGAGGATTTGTTGGGGGGCCCGCTGTTCTGGCCCATTCAAGGCACGTCTTGCACCTCTCGCACATCTCAACCTAACTAGTTCCTGTCTATTCGTCGATCACGGTCCTATCAGGAGAGCCAGGCATCCATTCACCATCGCTCCAATCTAATCACCGGACATGCTTGATCAACTAAAACGGCCACGACTACGAAAGTGTAATGAGGTGATGCATCGCGTCTTAGCAGGCTGGATCGTCGCCTTGGATGCTCCCGGCACCATCAGAAGGAGGATTCCAGCCTGCCCAAGAGGTCAGCACAAAAGATCCCAGGATTTTCAGCTTTCTGATTTCAAACTGCGACCATCTGGCCGTCGACGTCGATTTACATTGCCAAAAAGATAGTCCCTGGCTTCACGAGTGAGGCTTTTGATCCGAACTGGCAAAACATATGGAGGTCAGCCCGAAACAAGAACGATTTTGTCTTGATGCTCCGATTGATACTCCGATTGAAACTCCATCCCAAGAGTGTCCAGAAGCTCAATCGGGCCACTACATTATCCCCCGTTTCATTTACAGAAGTCTCTCGGAGCGAAAGATTGCCATTGAACCTTTCATCCTAATTGACTAGAACATCGCAAAGACTCCGACAAGGCAGCGCCGATCAATGCAGCCAAGCACATCGCTCGCATCGAGCATCTTGAACGGCCTTACTGCAACCAGCCCGCAGAAGGTGTTCGAGGACCTTTGGGCAATGCCCTGGGCAACATAAATTCTCCCCCGGGCTGCGTGCTGCAGCAACTGGCTAGCCATCCGGAAGTGATCTCTCCTTGCATTCTCATGCCTAGCATATCTTTAAACCCAATTGCAGCAATCCAACCAACCCTCCCACACGATTTTCGAACAGATGCATGATGCTTTCTACCTCGTCTTTCCCTCTCATTCGGCCCACTATCCGGGATTTTTTACGCGTGTTGAAATACATGATCGGGTCAATCACTCACTCAGGCATTCTTCCCAACAAGACCGTTTGTCCGCCCTATTCGTTCGCCACAGCGAACTAACCATCTTTTCCGGTCCAATGCCTACCCTGTGGCAAGATAATATGCGAAACGGGTCATTCGCAATGTTTGGCTGCCCTGATTCAACTTCGCGGATATCAACCTGGCCCCCCGCGTTAAGCCGGGTACACCGTCTGACCCGGCTCTTCGGATGTCCATCACCATAATCATCAACATCGTCCTCATCCATGACTCAGCCGGTGAACTGTCGCCGAGCTTGATATCCTGGCCTTGCGACATGCTGCACCGTAAGCCCTCATCTCGTCTCCATTGACGTCAAAAGAACGAAAAGAGAAATCCAGGACGGTGCCAGGCTTCGCCGAACTAATATTCCTCGGGCTCCATTCGGGGTTATGCGCTTTTGGTGATTGTTATCATCATGACACTCACTCAGATTCATTCCTGTCGGAATAGCCAACCCCGCTCACCTGGCTGTCCGCCAGGCCCCGCGGGTCCCATGTTCCTGTTGCCCGCTCCAAAACAGGTTCTAATTATCACGTGTCTATTTCCCAGGCTCGCGAAGCTTGGGCAAACCTTGGCAGTCGACAGGTATCTCGGGATTCATGACAAGCGTGCACGTGTGTGAATGATTCTGATGAAAGACGACAATATGAAGCCTGCGAGCATCGATGACAGTGTTAGTCAACATGCTTGGTTCCCCCCCTTTCTTTCGGGGGAGAATGCAAAATGTGGGATGTGTCGGCCGAAAGGGGGTCTAACCATGGTACACGAGCGCGTGCTCGCAAAGGCACAGGGCAGCAATGCCTCCCAGTGCGACGAGGTTGGGGCAGAAGAACGCGCGCTCGTCGACGACGAGGACGATATCTCCTTCCCACGTCAAAAATTCCGTCATCATGCGCGTGAGGTTGAACATATAAGATCGACCACCCCGTCCACAGCAGGAGGGTAGTGCCGCTGTCGAGGGGCTTTTTTGGCGGACGACAAACACCAACGATCACCAGGCTATGTAACCGGCCAGAGAGCAACGAGGAAGGAGAGGATCCAGAACGACAGGCCGAGATTGAGCTCCGTCGCTTATACATATGCCTACAGTCCTGATCGCAATCTCCCACCATACTGCGCCGTGTCTGCTGTCGCTCCTAGGTTTCCAAGAGACAATCCCCCTGACGGCTTCTCGAACATGGGTCGAATATCCCGGTCGTAAACATGCGGGCCCCTTCAGCCGTTCGACGAACTACATCTCTAACGCGTCTTCTAGGTCTAGAGTTGGACGGATAGATATACGCCATGAAAAGCAACAATAGTAACCAGCTGGCAAGGGTCTCCTCAACCATACTTACTACCCAGTACAGATCTGAGAGTAGGCTGTCGGCGTCCACCAATGATTGGTTGAACCTGAAGGATGGATGGCCCAGAAGACTCCCCTGGAAGAAGAGGAGGTAGCTGCCGAACAAAGAAATTGGCGAAGACATGAAATCTGTTGGTGTAGTACTTGGCACAATATTCGTCCGTTTGTTGGTTCTTGATAATATTAGCTACAACCCAAATCTTCGTCGGAAGAGAGGTATATTATGAGGGCTGCAGAGGGGCTGTTAGGCATCCGAACAAGCGAGAGGAGGAACAGGGCAGAATAGGTATCTAGTCGTCTGTATTTTAATTTTTTTTATTTTTTTATTTTTTTTGGTTGCAAACTCCCAAAGGCTGATGGACTACAAACATATTTCATTTTCCTATCCCAGCGGGCGTCCCCCTTCTTCTCGTCATCGACTTGCTCACCATGACATTGAGAGAAATTGTCAGAGACATTAACGCCGCTCAAGATTTGCAGTAAGGGCTGAGAGCCCCTTTTCTTTTCTTGATGTCAGTCTGCCTCGTTGTGACACCGGTCTTCAGCCTCGAGCAAGGCCTCTGTCTCGTCGGAGGATCGTTTTGCTCTGGCTTCTTTTCTCCTACTGCAGCCAGCGAACGCCTGATTTGTACTCTGCACATGTCCTAGACGAGCGCCCAGCCACTCACTTAGAAGTTGGGTGACTCCAATGACACCTCCCTCAGTCGGTGGCGTCGTGCACTGTGATGGGGGGGGGGTTTCTAGAAGCCGTGCACGTCCGTGCTAGACGCGTTTTCGCACGGGGCCAAAGCACCCTTCGGGAACAAATGAATGTCAGCGTTTCTGCTTGAACTTCTGAGATTCAAAATCCTGCTTAAATGAACCATGGGCCCGAGTTTTAGAGGTACATGAAAAATGTTGTAAAGAAAGGGGGAACAAAATGCCCGCGGGGAGAAAGTCGGGAAGGGAATGGATGTCGTTTAGGGCACAAATCACCATCATCCCCTTCACAGTGTTGCTGGGCTCCCCTGGACATTTATTTGGTCAACCCGCTTTCCAGACTTTGAGACATTGGGGACGAGCAAGCCGCTCGAGACACCAGAGCCGAGACCCTTGGACGAGAGATTCAACACTTGACCGCCAACCTGTCAAAGAGAACAGAAGAGTCCGACGCAGCGGGGAGGGTCCAACAAGTCGCAGAACAACAGGCCGTGGCAGTGACAGAGGGATGACATGATCGAGAAGGTTCGGCAACGGACCACGAGCCCAGCGAGTCTCGTCTCCGTGTTTGGAGAGTCGATGACGGAGAATAGAAACTTCGGAAACAACACGCGGGACGTCGAGACACAGCGAAACCAACTGAACATGAAATGGGAGAGGCTCAGGATGCAGCTCGCCTGTGCAACCGAACAAATGGCGAGACACCAACGATACTGAAATTTGGATAAAGAAGAGTGAAAAGAGTGGGAGACAACTCACTTCGTAACTCGTTTGGCAGTGGAAGAGACAGGCACAGAAAGGAGCCCCTTGCAGCACAGATTCAAATGGATGAACAGGAACAGGACGGCAGGCAGTGGCAGGTTGACGTCGCAAAGTCACGTCCACACAGGACATTTGGGTACTCCAATTCCAAAGCGTCTTCAGCTTCGAAAGCAGTATCTTTTGGTCCGATCACTATCATCCTTCCTTAACGATCCTGCTTGTCGGCGGATTTCCGTGTAAGACGAACGTAGATCGTTTTTCTCCTTCAAATAACATCATCTAGTAGTGTTGTTTTCATCCTAGCATCTCCACGTCAAGACCGATGGCTCTCATAAACAGGTTAACATTCCCCAATCGAACACTCGACATTTCGGGAGGCAATGTTTTGCTCTGAAGGACTGTCTCCATGACCCTGTCTTTGACACCGATAACCAGCCTCTGTTGTTGGTCGGGGCTGGCGCATATGCCGATGGCAGCCAAGAATTGCCAAACGTACATGTCATCGCCCGTGTTGACCGGACCAGGGAATAGCGAGCCAAAAAGAGGTTCCAGCATGTCAAACAGGCGAGCGTATAACATGGTCCACTGCTGCCAATCCTGATCAGTGACTGACCCAGCCTCCTTCACCAATTCCGCGCGGGTCAACAGCATCGTCAGCATACCAAGCCCAATCTTGGTGTGCGCAACAACCGAGATGCTGGTGTGATCGATGAGAAGCCCTAGCAATCCGGTGATGATATTAACAGGTGCCTCGCTCACATGAGATAACAAGCACGGCAGGACGGCTTGCGAGAATAGCTCGATTTCTTCTCGCACAATTAGCGGAGGTTGTGATTCACCAGGGGCAGGGCGAGCGTCCTTGACCACATCAAGCTGATCAAGGTGCACCACAATCATTGTCAGGATGGTGAGTCTTTTATCCTGGTCAATTTGGTGGAAGACACGAGGAATGGCTTTCTTGCCTTTGGCAAATGACAGGAAAGCAATAAAGGGATGGGGAATGGTCGATCCTGGAACTATAGGATCCAAGACCTTTAAATCTTGCCATAGAGTATTGCCGAGCTCCATTTGCTTTTGTCGCCATTCAAGATGTGCCTGAATCGAGTCGGCATCGCCCTCGGTGGGCGGAGGCGGCATTTGTCGTTCGTGATCCTCCATGCGCATCAAGGTGGTATACACCGCCTCGATGTTCTTCAAAATCGTTTTGCGATCACTTGTACTTACGCCACTTCCCTTTTTGGCACTCGTGGGCCGGGAGTCAGTGCCCTCTTGTCTCTTGATGTTGAGCAAAGGCTTTGGTGTCTTCGCATTGCTGAATGATATTTTGCCCAAGCTCCCTTCGATAATCAACTGCTTATTCTTCGGTTTGAGCTTGGCTGCTTCAACAGCACGCTGGACTTGTTGCTGCATTCTCTGCATGTGGTTGTCTCCGTTGATCTGTTGCCGCCTGCCGCCCATGCGAGTACCAGTCTGGAACAGATAAGTCTGCGCAAAGTGCCCGAGTGGTTGGGTGGGGTGTTGTCGTGGGGCGCCACGGATTTGGCTGTAGACTTGATAGTAGAAGTCTTCATTAAGAGCAGCTTCAGGATTTGGATCCGTCGAGCTCCCTGTGGCCGCCACTAATTGCTGAAGTTGAATTCGAGTGATGAAGTTCTTGTCTTGTGGAGTCATCAAGCCGTTTCCCTTAGAAAGAAGGAAGATCTTGTGATTCCTCTTTGCTCTTTTAGCGTCTTCTTCAAGATACGCCCGTCGCTGTTCTTCAGACAGTTCCATTAGCTGTTGGGGATGAGTTATGATCGGCAACGCACCAGGACCTTGAGGTCCCATCGGAGGAATGGGTTGAGACCTGTCGAGACTGGGTTGGGGCGAATGGCGAGCCCTGTTTGGATTTTGAAGAATCTGTAGAGGTTGCTGAGGCGCACGTGGTTGTGAGGGCAAGCGATTGTGGCTCCTAGATCCATCCGGAGGAGGTTGTGGTTGAGGCTGGGTTGACAGGCCGGGTGGAAGTCCCCTGGGCTGATATTGCTGAGGAGATTGCGGTTGCATCTGCTGAGCTGGAAATGGATATGGCTGAGGCTGAGGGAATGGAAGCTGTGATTGTCTCGCTTGAGATTCAGCCAGCAGGGCCGCCTCAACCTGTTCAAGAGTCATCATTGGAGGTTGTGAGATCTGTGCGGGCGGGGGCGAGGGTGCAGGAGCAGAGGACCAGACCGGAGCGGCGCTACGAGCCGTACTGATGCGGCTATCGCCAGACGGAGCAGCGGTTGTGCTTGATTTTGAGCCCCATGCCCCAGATTTTGCCTGAATATCTGGAATATAACCCGGATCTTGATATTTCTCATAGCCGGTCTTTTTGGCCTTCGCCGGTTGAGCGGCCGCAGCTGGTTGGTGAGGGTGTTGCAAGTTGTAGCGCATTTGCTCCTCGTTGATCACGTTTGAGACTTGTGCCGTTTTTCCAAAAAAGTCATAATCCTTTCCCACAGAGCCTTGACCAGCTCCGCCCTCAGCGCCACCGCCAAAGGTGTCATCGTTGAAGTCGTCGCCGGCCTCCTCGAGTTGATCGCCCAGCCCATCGTAGGTGTCTTCGAAGTCGAGACTGGATGAAGAAATTAGCAACTTCAATCTTGTTTGCAACCGCGGTCCACCTACATCTCGTCCTGATTGTCTTGAAAGGCCTGCAATTTTCGGGCCTTTGCGACTTCGGTGAAAGGGTTTGTGTGCTCGAAAATGCCCTTGCCTGCGCCCTCAGGCTTGTCCCTGGGGAGAGAGGTGTCGAACCCAAAGAAAGACATGGCAGAATCCCCAAAGTGAGTTTGAACTGACAAACTTCAGATAGTGGTAATGTTGCTTTCACCCCGCTGCAATCCACCTCTGTTCTCGACCGGATAGAATCGCAAAGCGTGTTCGCATGATCCAGGAAAGGAAAGAAAAGACAATAGCAAGGATATTATGACATGGCCGTGAGGGAAATGGCAGAGAGTTTCTCACTTAGGTGCAGGTGAATGATCGAACGATGGGTTGTTGTGAACGGCAAGAGATGGATTGTGGGATGTTCCATAAACAGGCAGGTGATGATTGATGGGCAGCTGGGCCGCTAACTGCGAACGGGGGTCGGTGACGCAGACTTGTCTCGAAGCGGGCGAAGCATGGCGATTGGTGAGATTTCTAACCCGAGACCCCTAGTTGTACCAAGGACTTGTAGTTGCAGGCTTCGGGGGCCCTAGGGACCCTTCCCGCCTAAGTTGCCAAGTGCCCACCCCTAGCCTAATACCTCGTAGTCTGCGCACGAAAGCCATCCCGTTACCCGAAACACGCATCCAGCTTCCAGTGCCCAGGGGGGCTTTCCTTGGGCGTCATACCAAAAAAGCAGCCACGCACAGCCCACCCTTTCAGCCCCATGCCCGCTGAGTGCTGCTAAAGTGGAATTGAGGCGTCCCCTTCTATCAACGCAGAAAAGTTTCCCGCAACACGTTGTCTCCGGGCTTGCGCGTCGTGCTGCGCTTCTCCCTATTGCCAACTTGAAATGTTTCTTCGACCTGCTTTGCCTGCTTCACTCCTTTAAACACCTCCGAGCCCTGCACGACGAGATTTCTTTGCTTTCCCAAACCTTTTCCACTTGGCCTTTCCTCGTCAGCGGGAGACACCTTGATATCTCTTCGCCCAGCAAGCCTCATGTCTTGATCGCACCGATTCTGGCCGCTCGATATTTCCTCCCCGAGTCTTGCTCCTCCCTTCAATCTTTATTACCAGAACGACTTCAGTCAGCTCCTTTGTTGACCTCCCACTAATCCCATCGGTCACCTCTCATCAAAATGACGACCGGCACGGGGAGGTATCTGCGCTATATATTGTTTGCTATTTTTGTGAGTTACACGGCAACGGGTGAGCCCAAGCGTGAAGATATTGCATATTGACTTGACATGAACAGGGGATTACCATTCTCTACTTTATTTCCACCTCGTCATTACCCTCCTATGCCCAACCGCTGACCTCGGGCACCGCCTTCTCGTGGGAGCGACCCGCAGAGTCCAAGCCGAGTTCGAGCGCCAACGAAATGGACGACTCCATTCATCTCCCGCCATCCTCCCCCGCCGCAGAGCCTTCACAATCCGTGGAAACAACGACTCCAAATGTTATCCCGACCGTCCCCTCGGAGCTCTCCCCTCCCGCCCCCGGCGAACGGGTCAATGCGACCTTTGTGACTCTGGCGAGAAATAGCGATATCTGGGAGATTGCCCGCTCAATCAGACAAGTTGAAGATCGGTTCAACCGGAACTACAACTATGACTGGGTCTTTTTGAACGACAAACCCTTCGACGAGACCTTTAAAAAGGTCACGACTTCCCTCGTCTCCGGCAAGACTCACTATGGCGAGATCCCTGTCGAGCACTGGTCTTTCCCTCCATGGATCGACCAGAAGAAGGCTGAGGCTGTCCGTGAAGACATGCGCCGGAGGAAGATCATCTATGGTGACTCGGTCAGCTATCGACATATGTGCCGGTTCGAATCGGGTTTCTTCTTCCGTCATCCTCTGCTCCACCAGTTCGAGTACTACTGGCGAGTGGAGCCCAGCGTCGAGCTGTTCTGCGACATTCATTATGATCCATTCCGCTACATGAAGGAACACAAGAAAAAGTACAGCTTCGTCCTGAGTCTGTATGAATACGTCGAGACCATTCCGACCCTGTGGGATAGCACCAAGAAGTTCATCAAGGCGCACCCTGAGCACATCTCTCCTGATAACTCGATGGGGTTTTTGAGTGACGATGGAGGGGACACCTACAACAAATGCCATTTCGTAAGTGTTGCAAGAATTCATTTTTGTCTCCCTTGTTTCTGACCTAGGGTTAGTGGTCCAACTTTGAAATCGGCAGCCTCGATTGGCTTCGATCAAAACCGTACATCGACTTCTTTGAATCCCTCGACAAGGATGGCGGTTTCTTCTACGAACGTTGGGGCGACGCTCCAGTCCATTCCATCGCTGCTGGACTACTTCTCAGAAAGGACGAGATCCATTTTTTCAATGATATCGCCTACTATCATGTCCCCTTCACGCATTGTCCCACGGGAGATGACCTCCGCTTGAAACTCCGTTGCCACTGTAACCCTGCCGACAACTTCGACTGGAAGGGATACAGCTGTACTTCTCGATTTTTTGACCTCAACAAGCTTAAGAAGCCCGAGGGGTGGGAGGCTCAGGTATGACTAACCGCCGGTAATGTCGGAAGCCCGGTCAACGATAATGGAAATGGCAACGGTAACAGCGGCACCCCAAACGGATCAGACTCTGGCGTTTCTCTGGTATGGGAGATTTGGAAATATGCATGCATAACGTTCAGCGTTGGATTGGTCTTGACGATTATTTTGATGAGAATTCCCTGGACGAGACGCAAGCTGCTTTCGTGGGCGGAGCGCTTTGCGGAGTGGCATGAAAGCGGGCTCGACCGCGATGAGGATGAAAATTGGTACAAAAAGCCCGAACAACCGGCGAACTCACGGTGAACAGTGTTGTGAGGAGGTCAGGTCGCTGGAACGCTGGGGATCGCAGCATAAGAGTGCCCCTCCGTGTCTGGCGATTTTTCTGCTCTTGAATATGCCGTGGAGAAGAGCATTTCACGCGAACTGCACAGATCTTCGATGTACGTCTTCCGCAATACAAGATACCCATCGAGAGAGTGTGGTCGAGCAACCAACCAACCCTTTGCCCGTCAACGTGAACCAACAGGCACGGGGAATGGTTTAGAAGAATTCCTTGCAGGGACCCCTTTTTTTGCATGAGAGGCGTTTGGTCAACTCGGTGCGGCCGGGGAATTCGGCATTGGGCATTGGGAAGAGCACACAGTACACATGGTAAGGCAAAAAATACTTGCGTGGAAACGGCAAGAGAGCGAGAGAGCTACCTCGTTTCGTCCTCTTGTCCTGTCTTGTCTCGTCCCGTCTTGCACTGTATTGCGATGCGGGTCTGTGGGTGGTCGGTGGTCAAGATCATTGTGAACCAGAATGGAGAGACTCGGAACGGCATGGATGCCATGGTACTGTTATTCATGGGCAAGGAAGCCCTCGGCAGACTGTACAAATCACATGCTACTTTACGGAATGGGAATCAGGGATTAGGAAACCCGGTCGGCATACCTAGGAAAGGGAAGGGAAGGAAAACGACCTCCATCCCTACCGAGTACATAAAACAAACGACAATCAATCGGTGGAATCAAGATTGTAGCGCTTGGGGAACCACCACGTGTTGACTTCGAGTGATGAAGTGCCTATGATGCCTCTGTCGATCTTGTTCGTTGTCTGTCTGCCGGGACTGCGTATCTCACTACGAGGGACGAAGTACAGGGTGCCGAGTGTACATTGTTATCCCCTTTTTCGTTATTCGTTTGACCTCTATCACAGCGATACGTACCTATCTATTGCGGTGCATATATATATGTAATTACATCTAATACGATGCGACCTGGGGGATGGTATGTATATATTTGCATCTATGCCCCGTATACGTATCTACATACACATACCTACATTCTTGGGTAGGTACCTCTTAAGTCGCCCGTACGGAATCTACTTAATTTAGTCAATAGCTTTTCGCTCCATCCTCCGGAGGCCGTGCGGCGAGCGGGTATTAATACGTGATGGTGAGGGAGGATGCACGACAGAGCATTCATTGCGGCATGTGATACTATACCATATAGAGCTGTACCTCTCTACCTTTGCCTTGTTCCTTGTCTTGTCCCTGTATCCAGTCTCCCTGTCCTTATCCTTGCCCCTAGCCCCCAGGCCCAGCCCCTTTCTCGCACAAGCATCAGCCCGAGTCTTAGCCTTGCTAGCTCCCACCATCTATCTCCTGGCTGGAACACAGCTCAGTCCGAGTAATCTCATCTCATGCCGGTCCAAGCCGACATTGACGCTCGCGCCGTGTAGAAAGGTTGAAAATCGGCCGTGTGTGCCGTGCAAAATTGCTTCGTCTGGACGATTCGGATATACTATAACCCCCCTCATTTTCCCGAAGTAAATGTTGTTGCATTGTCTGTAGGAGTCCGCAGAGAGACGTCTCGGGTTGATTGGACTGAAATGGAATGGATGAAGTGGGCGATTTTAATGCACTGTATGTACATAGGTGGGTTCTGAATTCGCATTCAGGTCCAGATCCGAGACCCTATGCGGCTCGTATGGAAATCAGGTGGAGGTGTAGGCGCCGTGGACGGATATGAATGTGTCTTGTCTTGCACAGGACATATCATTGCATACACTGCCCATCCGACATCCCATGTTTGCGTTTTGGTCTCCCTTCGCAACCGTCACTTTTCCGCCGTCTGTCGAGAGTATCGCCGATTTGGAGAGAATGGCAGGTTTGTATTGCTCCTTGCTTCCCTTCCCTTCCCATCCATCTTGTCACTCTGCCTTCTCACCCCGGATTCGGACCGCGCTGGCCCAGGTTTAAATCCTCCAAGAAAGCCCAAGTCTCGATCATGTCGTCTTCGGCTTCTTCGTGCCGTATTTGGATCGACTTGTCATTCGAGTAGGTACACCTCCCTGCCAAGCCACAACATGGCATCGTTAGTAAGTGGATCTCGTATATCCATTATAGCGCTGGCTAATTCCAAGGTCTTCATTCTCACTCTCCTCCAATTTCCCCACACTTCCCTCATAAACATTGTGGAAGACGCAAGACTCTTCCTCCACTACACCGAAGAACACCCCCAACCATTCACATCTCCCGTAGTGACCAAAATACGTAGACGGAAGACAGAATAGCAAACTCACCAAATCAAAAGCGCCCCGGACCAAATGA